ATACCGTAACTCCCTTTGTATAACGGTGCCGCCATCAAACAGCGGCACCAACATGAGTCATGTATCTAGCTCCTTTTTTGTAAGCGGGACCCAACTGGAGCGAGGCGGAGCTCCAAATGGGCTCGGTAGCCGATTTTTCCGGCAAATTTTTAGTGTTAACATTTGTTTCGACAACGAGTGGATGTCGTCTACTGCCAACATCATCACACCGACCAGACGCCGTCTACCACCAACATCAGCACATCGACTAGACACCATCTACCAACATCTGCACGCCGTCCGTCAACATCAGACCATACTTTCCACCAATTTTGTTTTCTACTGTTATTTGCTATCGCATAAACATACCTATGTTACCTCTTGTTGACAAAAACAATTGAGGTTAAGCATAATAGCGATAGGAAACTCCAGAAAAGTCAAGGTCGGAAAGAAGAAACTTGTGTTTTCACCACACAGCCGGTGTTTCTTTCAGGCCGGTTTCCGTCCACGTAGTTCTGTATAAGTTTTCATCCGTACCCGTCCATCGCATTTGTAGTCTTCCATGTGTTCTTTTAACATTGCAAGGCTTCCATTTAGTAATCCGCTTTGTCCATTTGTTGTGTTCTCATCATACAGGGAGTGACAAGAGAGTAATTTCCATGTTTTACTGTAGCTTTTCGTCTGGGCATAGAGTTTTATTCACCTTGACATCTTAGTTTACATCAGACCAGACCTACAGTACTTAAGGAGCACTGTGCTGCATCTTGCTGTCAGTTAATATGCTTCATTATCTGGCTTGTATCACCGATAACTTTACCTTCCCAGTGAATGTGGTATTCCATGTTTCACTTCCATACAACTGATAACACACCGGTGCAGAAGCATCTTTGTTATCGGAGAAATGCCTGATGATTTTTGTCTGGAAATGCACATGATCGATTTTTGTAATTTCAGTGGCCTGGGGCTCGAGCGTCTGATACTCCATCATTTGCTACTGTACTCCGATCCCGAATTATTGGTTTTTGTGATAAATACAACGCCGCAAGATGATGTTAGCTCGCGTTTGATCTCTTTGGTTTCCCTGAATACTTTGTGCTTAGCATCATCACTGAGAGCAGTGCTTTTCAGGCTTTTTTCTTATCGCGTCTGCGCAGCAGTAAAACAAAATGTCCGCCGAAAATCATCACAGCGGATTGCTCCATCAAAGATCGGTGCGTCTTCCTTTGCATGTAACTTGCATTTCGGAGACAAAGAAAATTTAACCAATTGCGTAATATGAGTTGCTTTCGAATTATAATATGTTTGTGCTTAGGACTTTGCTGACCGCGCTTATCCTGATCAAACTTAACACAATTTCTGCCCACCAGTATAGCTGGATACCCTTTGGTGATTACTGAGACCGAGACAGTATCAGTTAATTTGCTGCTAGCGGTGATTCTGTGATTTTTGTTTCCTCGCCTTTTTCTCTTTTTTTTGGAGGAAACTGCCCAGTGCACCACATTTCCTCTGTCATCTTTACATGTCGGAATAGTGATGAATTTATCATTACACTGCCATAAACTTACCATTGTTGGTGATAAATTTATAATTATATCCGGCCAGTGCCTTGGATGCATTGGACATCTGCTGCTTCACTGCGTGCGTCTATGCAGCTGTAAAGTTCTCCATTTGCTTGGTTGTTAGTTTGCTGGCGATCCTAGCATTCTTTTCATTTGCTAAAAGAATTATCAGCTCAGCCGTTCTTCCGAAAAAGCGTTTGCGAGGGCTTAGTGACTCGTTATGTCTTTGGTGTGTGTGTGTATGATGACACATTTCTGTTGGCACTAATACATGATATATGGGCTTTTTTGTAATATTCCAGTCAGTTTCAGTTCTTTTTTGACTCACCGGTTTACAGCAGTTAGTTTTATATGTGATGCAGTTTTTATTAAGCATTTGTGGACCATTTTTTACGTGGACGACACTTATCTGCGTGCTTATGAGTGGGCAGTGGTTACATTAAACCATATATAAAAAATTAATTTTCATTCTAGCTTATTTTATAATGTGTGTTTTTGTGAGATGTTTTTTTCTCACGCTCTTTTTTCAGCTATGAATTTTTTTACAGCGAAACATTGTACATGGAGGGCGGCGTTCACTTCATCACTTCCCGCATCCTTATGGTTGATTTCTTGCAACAACGT